GTGGAGTGTTGAAATCCCTGACTATTACTGTGTTTCAGTCTCTCTCTCTCTTGTTAGGTTGAGACCCATTTTGTAAATCATATCTCTATGCACACACACACACACATTGGGAGAGTTATATGTCTAAAATAATTATTATAAAAGGAGACTAATCATCATCATGATCATCATCTAATGAGATCATACTGTGCAGAAAGACATTTTTAAACTTCACAAAGAAAGTAATAGTAATAACCAGATTTTTGGTACAAGGGAATAAGGCAATAGGAATTAACTGTCACATCAATAGGAAGGATCAGGTCACAGAATAAAGATTGTTTGGGTTATAAATCTATGTCTTTACCACTACTGTAGAGCTATTAGAATGACAGAAGGTATGGTATTATTAAGAAAAAGATGTGAGATGTTTTAAATTACTTTAGAAAGGTCATATCAAAGAAGAAATTAGTTTGTGAGCACATATTAAAATAAGAGATTTTGATCCAGTTGGTAGAAGTTAGAGAGAAATTTCAGCTATGTCAAAAAAGTCAAAATAATTTTACACATTTAAATGGAAATGGGCTACCACTTGGCTGGGTGGATCTCTGTTATTCAAAGGACTCCATAAAGGGTGACAGATGTCCAGGCAAGGGAGACATTGTGAAGTGATGACTAGCTAATGTGTCAGTTAGCTGTTCATTGAACATTGCTTTTGCCTCTCTTGCCCATCAGACACCCCAGCTACATGGAAGCAGAAAACCACACTGAACTATCAGTGTTTCTCCCTGTCAGCTTCTCAGAGAATTCTTAACTGAAGCCCTTACTTTTTGGATTATTCTTGTTAGTGTCCCTGGTCATGGTACACAGGAACCTGCTCATCATCCTGGCCATCATCTCAGACTCCCATCTCTGCACCCCCGTGTACTTCTTCCTTTCCAACATGTCCTTTATTGACATCTGTTTCATCTCTACCATGGCCCCCAAATGCTGGTGAACATCCAAGCACAGAGCAAAGACATCTTCTACATAGGGTGCCTTGCCCAGATGTATTTTTTTATGTTTTTTCCTGGACTGAATAATTTTTTACTGACTGTAATGGCCTATGACTGCTTTGTGGCTATTTATCACCCCCTGCACTTTATGGTCATCCTGAACTCCCACCTCTGTGTCCTGTTGGTCCTAAAGTCTTGGTTCATCATTTTCTGGGCCTCCATACTTCAAATTCTACTGAAGAAGAGGCTGACCTTTTGTACAGGCACAGAGATTCCACATTTCTTCAATGACCAGGCTCAGATTCTCAAGGTGGCCCACTCTGATACCCTCATTAATAACATCTTCTCGTATGTTGCAGCTGCACTGCTGTGGGTGTTTCCTGTCATTGGGATCCTCTTCTCTTACTATCATATAGTCTCCTCCTTAATACAGATGTTCTCCACTGCAGGCAAGTATAAAGCATTTTCCACCTATAGGTCTCACCTCTCTATGGTCTCCTTGTACTATGGGATAAGCCTTGGGGACTACGTCAGTTCTGTTTTGACCCAATCTTCTCAGAGAAGCTTAATAACCTCAGTGATGTACACTGTGGTCACCCTCATGGTGAACCCCTTCATCTACAACCTGAGGAACAAGGTTGTGATGGGAGCCCTGGGAAGACTCTTTAGCAGAGCAGCCTCTTGTTCATGAAGCATCACTGATTTCTGAACTAAGTGGAAATTGTAGAATTCCACTTTTCTGAGGTAATGAGGTGGATCAAAATCATACAGAGAGAAAGTAGAAAGTTGGTTTACAGGCGCTAGATGTAGGGGGAGTGGAGAATTAGTGTTTAATGGGCAAAGGGTTTCTCTTCTGCAAGATAAAAAGAGTTCTGGAGATGGATGGTGGTGATGGTTGTGCAATAAGGTGAATTTATTTAATGCCACTGAGCTCTACACTTACAGATGTTTCATATATACTATGCAGCACTATTCGCAATAGTTAAGAGTTGGAATCAGCCTAAATGTCCATCATCAGATAAGTGGATATGGAAAATGTGGTATATCTACAGAAAGGAATACTACTCTGCTATTTAAAAGAATAAAATACTGTCATTTGCAACAACATGGATGGACCTAGAGAGAATTATATTAAGTGAAATGAGTCAGGCTCGGAAAGAGAAATATCACATGTTCTCACATATCTGTGGGAGCTAAAAATAAATAAATAAATACACAAATAAACTGGGGGGGGAGGGAAGAAGACACAACAATTACAATCCCTTGAGTTGATAAGACAAGTGAACAGCTATGAGTTTGTTGGGAGGGAGGGGGGAGAGGGAGGAGGGAGGGTGGTTTCGGTAATGCTCCACAATTATCAACCATATTGTATATTGACAAAATAAAATAAAATTTAAAAAATAAAATAAAATGAAATAAAATACATAAAAAATAAAAATCTCCCATCAGGAATGAGAGACATGTTGCTCCCAGTGTTGGGGGTACTGCTCAGCCCACCAAAATCTGTCCCTGTGGGCTCGGCTTCTGCTGCAGAGAGCCACCGTAACCAACTCATGCCTCCTTCCTGTAGAACCCCACATTCAATGACTGATTGATGTGGGGTATAATGTCTTGGCTTCTCTGCCCAAATTCCAGCCAACTCCAAGAGACCATCCCAGCTCCAGAGCTCCCTGGTGGTTTTCAGAGGTTTTGACAGACTGACACTTGGCTCAGTTTTTTCCTCTGCCCTTCTCTCTGAGTTTGTCATGCTGCAGAATGTCAGAGAACAGTCCTCACAAGACTGTCCATACTTCAGACATGCTTCACATGTTTGGGGGTCTGCAGGGCTACACTCACTTCAGAACATCTTCTTACAAATTTGGGAGTCCCTACAGACTCACTTAGGCATGACAGTTTGCTAGAATGACTCACTAAACTCAGGAAAGTGCTCTACTTATTATTATAGTTTAGTACAGCAAAAGGATTGAAATTAGAACCAGTTAAAGGAAGATACACAGGGCAAGATCTGAGAGGATCCAAACATGAAGTTTCTGGTTGTCCACCCCTCATGGAGTCCAGACACATTACCTCATCCTGGCTACAATGTGTAACAATGTTGAGAGTATTTCCAACCATGGCAACTCACCCGAGCTTTGGTGTCCAGAACTCTTATTGAGACTTCATTGCACTGGGATGATTGATTGAATTATTTTCTATGTGACTGAGCACAATTTCCAGTCCCCCACCCCAAACATGTTAAGCTGATATCATGTAGCCTGAAGACCCGCACACTATAATCAAATGGTTGGAATTTCAGGTGTGACCAATGCCCATCTTGAGCAATCTCATTAGGGCCACTACCAGCTGTGGTGTGAGGGGCCTGCCATGAATAACCCAGGCAACCCTATTAGCAGGGACATTTCAAGGGTTTAGAAGTAAAATCCGAGGAGTTCGGACAAAGGCAAGACCTCTCTTTAGGTGAGCGTCAAATTTCTAACTACATGTCTGCCCTTCCATAGGTATTGATTCCAGGAGCACTGCCTGGTAAACATCCTGTATGCAAACCTCCATCTTAGAGTCTGCTTCCCAAGGAACTCAACTTGGGACACCTCATTACTAATAAAATTAATTTGGTAAGATTTTAAAGACAATTCCAAGGTAGGGTTTGGATTGTCAGCAGTATTTTGTTAATCATACCCAGTGCTGGTGGAAAATTCAAAGACAGGAGATACAGAATACAAATTTTAGGGTGGCAGCGGTGGGGGGTGAGGGTGGGCCCATCTAAAGAATACTAATGAATTGGGAAATCCAAATTCAGAGATGTATCATAGAGAGTGTGAAGTTTAAAATAATAAGGTAACATATGTATCTGCATGTGCAGCATACTTCAGATTCCTGAAGCCTGCAGTCCATTCATAAGCACCTACCCTTTTCTCCCCTGATTCTATTACAAGTTTGATCAGGGACATGCCAATTGCTCTGTTCACTATATTTTGGAGAAATTGAGCATCCAGATGACCACAGTGCTTAACACTGTGTGTATTTCCATTTTTTTGGGAGGGAAGTTTTCTGAAGAACTGAGGAACATTCCAAGGTCTGTCCCATACAATAAAGAGATACACAGACAGGTGACAGCAACAGGTGTAAGGTGCTTTAATTCCATGCTGGAAGACACTATTTAACTCTCTTGTTTCTGCTGTCAAAATTCACAAGCATATATCTGTTCAAATTTTCACATAGATAAACTTTTCCAGGTCACTGCCCCACCCCCACATTTTGTCATTTCAGATCCCCTTTTCCTTTTGCCTAATATCAAAACAATTAACATTATCTAAACTTGCCTGTCTCAGTTATATGTTTTTTTCTTGTTCTTCATAAACAGTTCATCTTAACATTTTATTTTCAATCATGCAAATGTTTCCTAAACTATTTCTCCATATTCAGTTTCTCCCCAGGCAGACAGATTTTTTTAAAAGGTGTGATTAAAACATGGCATCTCTACTTAAAAACCTCCAATCATTTCTGCTATTCCTAAAATAAAATTTATTACTTTATGCCAGTGTGTATAAGACTCTTCATTGTTTGGTCTCTCCTCTTTCCAGCTATCTCTGCTATTACTGCTCCCTGGAGAACTTATAAATGCAAAGCTGGGCCCCACCCCAGACCTGCTGCATCCAAACCTCTGCTGCAGGAACCAACCTGTGGTTTAACAAGCCCTCCAGGTGATGATGATGGATGCTAAGTTTGAAAACCACTTGTCTAAACCTATTGGCTTTCTTGTAGTTCTTCAAACAGGCCATGTTACTTTAAGCCTCTGGGCCATTACACTTTATTCTTTATGTCTAGAATGTTCTCTACTTTCTTATTTGCTTTTCACTTCAA